CCTTCCCTTCATTGTTGTAAGCCGCCCTGAGTCCCCTCAGGGAAAAGGGCGGCATATAAATTTCCAATAAAATCCAAAAATCCAAATCCAATCATTAAGCAAGGACTGTCTATGCTGTTTTAAAAAGTGACAGTAATGCATGTTGGTTCAAGTCCTCATTGTATCCTTGACAAACAGTAGGATGGTGATTGAGGGACTGTGCATTATGCCAACCTCACAAGATAACCCATTGTGCCAGGGGCAGTGTGTGTGTGAGAGAGCAGATTGGTGTATCCCAAAATATTCAAGCTTTTATATCACCAGGAAGGTAAAAGGTGTTTTCCTTGTAATTTCTTACAAGAATTATTGTAAAAATAACAATAGTCTGTTATTAAAAGGCAGCTCTTCTTAACTCCTAATATGGTTGAATCTTTCCCAACAATAGCAACAAAAAACTTTCCAATAAAATGTGAAGGGCAGGATGAAAGGGCAGCATTGAAGCTTGAGATTGAGAGAAACATGGGCAGGGGTATTTCTTCACTTTGAATAAGTTTAGATCTCCAGGACTAGATTATTTGATCCTAGGAAACTAAGGGAGCTGGCTAGATTTTGACCAAACTCCAATATATTATCTTCAAGAATCTTGGAGAACTGGTGAAGTGCCAGATGTCAGGAAGAACATAAATGTCCCTATCTATGTAGAAAGGGAGAAAATGAAGATGCAAGAAACTATTTAATTGACTATATATTCTGCAAGCAAAGATAATGAAATTCTATTCAATTAACAAAACCAGTGAAAGACCACAAACCCAATATGAAACTTTCCAAGAGTGTAATTAACTTCAATATTTGCATTTCCCAAATGTCTTTGTATTAATATAAAGATATGTGTGTATTTGCTTTTAAAAATAGGTGTTTTATGCAGAATGTATTACAATATATTAAATAAAACTGAATATACAGATATTCATGTTAATTTTTTTTTGGCCCAATTTATAATTATAGCAGAGCAGAATTATTTGAATATAAACTATAAGAAAATAAATGTCTTTCCCTAATATGGGGCTATTTTCCTGTTGGCTGACGAAGGTATTTTTATTCCAGTTGAGTTTTTTCTTTGATCAGTTTGCTGATGTTCTTTGTTGATGATGATGATGTTTTACTTGTATGATTATTTCATATTTTATATTCCACTGGTTAGAGTTCTTCAGTGCAATCGATGGTGGGAAGTTTTTAAAATGCAAGTGTTTCCTTACATTCATTCATTCATTTATTCATTCCCAAGCTCTGTTGTAATTTTTGGGTGTATCTTTGACTGATGTTATCTGTGCTTCCTTTGTTCCAGAAAGGCATGCCCCAAACGCTGAGCTCTGCCAGCATGTTTACTTCCTGTGGCTTCAGCCCTCATCACCTCCATCCCTCCAAAGAAGATGATGAAGGAGGACTGATCTTTCAAGATGGAAACCTTACCTCAGCATCTCTTGATGCTTTAATTCAACACCTTATACCTACAGCTGACTACTACCCTGAGGTAAATGTTTGGTTACTGTGAACTGCCGTTTGCTTTGATGAACTAGACCGTCACTTTTTGCAAGTTTCAACAATCTTTGTTGCAAATAAACCTATAGTTAGTCCTCAACTTACAACCATTCATTTAGTGACTGTTCAAAGTTACAACTGCACTGAAAAAAATGATTTATGGCCGTTATTCACATTTACGACCATTTCAGCATTCCCATCATCACATAATTAAAATTTGGGCATTTGGCAACTAGCATGCATTTATGATGACTGCTGTGTCCCAGGGTCATGTGATCACCTTTTGCAACTGTCTGACAAAGTCAATGGGGAAGCAAGATTCACTTAACTGAGTTACTAACTTAACAACTGCAGTGATTCAAATAACAATCGGCAAGAAAGGTGGCAAAATGGGGCAAAGTTCATTCCAACACTGTCTTGCTTAGCAACAGAAATTTTAGGCTCAATTGTGGTTGTAAATTGTGGCCAACTGTACAGTAACATCTTCTGTTCCACTTGCCTTCTGTCATTTGTGTAGATGTTTACCAGAAATATAAATTGATGTGTTTGCACTTTTCTAAGCATCACTTATGTAAGGGTTTGAGCTGTTTGTTTTTCATGGCATAGAATTCTTATTCACAATGATAAATTAGTAAACTATCTCTGACTAGAGAACATCTTAAATAGTTATTGTCCCTAATGTCAGTGGGAACACTGCCAAGAACAAATAAATTTTAAAGTAGCTAAACTTCAACAGTTGATGTTATTCTTCTAGCCAAAACAGAATCCCTATTTCTGAAAAGATACTATACAGAACATAGCATGATTTATCACTCTTAAAAGGCTTCTGTATTGAGAAGTAGATATCTTGCCCATCCATTTTAAATATTGATATCTGTTGGCCATTGGTTTTCTTGTTCGTTTATATATTTATTTTATAGTACTTATAACCTGCTCCTATCCCAAAAGAGTCTAGTTAATAGAGAATGCCAACATTCTCTAGATAACAAGAATTATTCTTGTTAATCCTTGTGAGTTCTTATTTCTTTATTTTAAAATGTAATAAAGTTCCTTTAAAAAATTCACACTAATACGCCAATATAGTGTCCCCTTATACCACCCAGATAGATTGAGATTGCAACCGTAGTATTCTGTTTCCAAATAAACCACTGAATGAACTTCTGACTTTGAGAAAGAATTTGGCATATTTAATTCTCTAGCTAGTTGCTGTTAGATGAATGTTCCTGTTTCCTTTCCTCAGAAGGCCTACATCTTCACATTCCTGCTGAGCTCAAGACTGTTCATTGAACCACATGAACTTCTGTCCCGTGTTTGTCACAAGTGCATCGAGCAGCAGCAACTGGATGACCCAGTGCTGGATAAGGTTGGTATGTTTGATGATTGCAGGTGCTAGGATGAGTAAGGGTAGCATTCACAGTGTGACAACAGGATTGCAGTGAATTTGGAGAAAGCTTCCTATTGTAATTGTTCTCTCTGAATCTCCCTTTCTTCATATGTCCCTGTCCCAGAGGTGGCATGCTGCCGGTTCGCACCAGTTCGGGTGAACCGGTAGTGGCAGCGATGCGAGGCTCCGCCCCCCTCCCAATGTCATCACAGATCTTCTGCGCATGCGCAGAAGGTTCTGCGGATGCCCAGACATGGACTCCTGCTATCGAATTGGTAGTGAAGATAATAGGATACCATTACTGCTCTGTCCCCATGGAGAGTTTTGTAATCCTAAGGATTTGGCATGTTCAAATAGGACTTCCATGCCTGACAGCAAAACTCCATGTAGTAAGAGGATAGCTATAATTCATGTATTCTTTTCTAATCTTCAATCTTCCCAGGTGATATTCCTTTCCTCACCTATTGAGCCTTTGGGATCTCAGGGAATAAGAGCCAATTATACCCTTTCATGAGTTGGTGTTACTGTGCTACCTCTTATCTCTGTTGCCTTAGATTTTGATTACAAGCTGGCTTTTTTTAGGTAACCTATCACTCTCAGCTCCCCAGAGCAGGATACAATTGCTCGCAAAAAGTGCCCCATGATGGTTAGACGCTAATACATCTGTATTTGGAAGTACTGCTCTCTGTCTGGTGCCTACCTAAATAAATGCATTTGGGAATATTTTGACTGTAATTGTCAGATGTGGAGAACCAGAGCCATAGGCAGGCGGTGGGTTTTTTTTCTGTAGTTGTTGGAGCCACTCCTGATTGTAATTGCTGAAAATTACTGCACTGTTTCTTGCCATTTTAATAATGAAAACACAAACAGTCCCATGTTTTTCTGAAAATAAGACAGGTCTTATTTTCTTTTTACCTACAAAAAATGGCTTGGGCTTTATTATGGGGAGAGGATTTATTGTTTCGGGGTTCCTGGGTGGCTGCTCTCTTGCAAGTGGGCTCTCAAAGAGCTGGGCACAGCCTCATGGGTGAATGGCTGTGTTGCGCTTATATGCGGAGGGGCTTATATTTTTGCCCACCAGAAAAATGTGGCATGGCTATATTATGAGGACATGTCATATTTTCGGGGAAACACGGTATAATCAGGTAAGCCCTCAAGTAGGCTTAATATGCTTAAAACAAATTCAACCGAAAATTCTGCTTCTCAAATTTCAGGAAAAAGAAGCAGAAATTTCTGTCCCAATCTGTGTAGAACTGCCTTGATGATTTTGCGTGATCATCCTGTTCTGTACAGCCCTCGTGCTCCCCAAAAGTACAACCTTGTTCTAATAGCATGCAGAAGGCCTGGGTTGAAATTATCCCGTTTGCTCCATCTCTTTCACTATAATATCCTTGTAGCATTTTCAACAATACTTACAACCATTCATTTAGCTGACCGTCTAAAGTTACGACAACATTGAAAAAAGTGACTTACGACTGCTTTACACTTATGACTTATGGCATCCTCATGGTCACATAATCAAGATTTGGACACTCGGCAATTGGCATGTATTTATGATGATTGCAGTGTTCCGGAATCATAGGATCACCTTTTCTGAGCTTCTGACAAGCAAAGTCAACGGCGAAGCCAGATTCACATAACAAACCATGTTACTAATTTAACAACTCCAGCAATTCACTTAACATCTGTGGCAAGAAAGTCCATAAAATGGGGCAAAACCCACTTAAACAACTGTCATGCTTAGCAATGAAAAAATTGGGCTTAATTGTGGTTGTAAGTCAAGGTCTACCTGTACTTGTCCCTTGTTTCATTCTGAAAAACATAGTGCAACTATCCCAAATTATTTCTTTGCACATGCTGAGCTTCTATAAGAGCTAATGGGGTGCTTGTAAAACATTGGGAGGAATTGTGTTACCTCCTACTGCAAAAATAACAGCCACTCTTGCAGAACCTTAAAGACAAATGCATGCCTTATATGACAAAGGGCACCATGGACTGTCTTCAGTTTATGTAGCTAAAGAAGTGGGCTAGAGTCCTCATAACAGTATTTGAAATATCAGGGGACTTAACTGCTCTTTGAAATTATAGTTACAGACATTTCTCCTCTTGCCACTCTATTTGAGGGTCAGCGATGCTTTGTTAACAGGAACATTTCTTCTGTAAAGCTGAATGCAATGGCTGGCAGATTGTGCATTCCCATTTGGCAATTCTGCCCCTGAAAATAAGAATTGCTCTAAAGAGTGATAGTAAATGTTGTACACTTTACCTACAAATCTTACAATCATTGTTCATATTTAAATAGGGCGCGCTGTTAAATTCCTCAGAAAATGTTAACAGCAGATCTTCAAGAATCACTTATTGTTAAATTTTTATTCATGTTTATTATTCATTTATTAACAGTCTCCACTTCTTCTATTTTGATCATTCTGTTTATTCCCTCCTCCAACCTATGCAGGCATACAAACCTGTACATATAATCTTTGAACAGAAGAAATGAAATATACAAATAACTAAAATGACTCCACACTCATAAAGGCACCAAATCCCTAAATCTTGCAACATAGACCAAGCAAATGTATTGAGATAGCAGAAAATTTTATTTTCAGCAACCAAGGTCCCCAAGAGAGGGAGAAGATTCAGCCCCCATCTAAGCAAGATGCAGCAGGATAATAACAAGTGCAAAAATAGACTAGTTGCTAAATTGTCTTTCTGTTAAAGACAATTCAGTGGTAAAATACATAAATGTATAATGCATAGGTATACAATTTTCAATGCGTTCCATCCATCTGTCGCCTGTTCCAACACTCCTGGCACCTTACTCAGAGGTGGTATTCAGCAGGTTCTGACCAGCTCTGGAGAACCAGTAGCGGAAATGTTGAGTAGTTTGGAGAACTGATAAATACCACCTCTGACTGGNCTAATCACTGTTAGAATTGATCCCAAATTGAACCATCTTTTGTATACCTAACAATAGCATTGGGATGCAGTGCAGTGTGTCTCCTCACCTATTTCTATCACAGTTATTTTCATAGCTGGTTGCTTTCATCTCATCCATCTGCCCCACTTACCTAGTGATTTTCTGACAGCAGGAATGAGATGGAGAAGAGTTATAGATAGTTACTGCTTTTGAGGTTTGACATTCTTTTATGTTTGACACATGTTGATTCAGAAAGAACAGATAGGAAAGAAGGAACAAAAGAAAACAGTGATGAAAAGGCCCAGCTTTGTGTTGCAACTCCTCAATCTCTTCAGTGTAACCATAGGAACACGCATAAAGAAATGCATTTTCATTGGCTGTGAGCATGATTGTCTAGTTTGGGGGCTGTAGATATGGGTCTAGGATGATTGGCATTGCTAAACAGATTTGGCTGGCATTAATGGGGCCAACATTGGGAGAGAGGGAAAGAAGGATACTGAGACTTTGATTATTAAGAACTAAATGAGATGGACTTCTCTGAATCCTTGATAGGACCTTTTTAAAAAAAACAGAATATGCATTGCTGTGTTTTTGCATTTCTTTGTATTATAACCCTGGAAATTGAGCAATTTATACTTCACTCATTGGGTGAATGAAAGCAAAAAGAGAGTGACTAGAATGAAACATATCCAATTTATCTCATGCCCTTTTCTACATTGGCTTTCACTGACTACACTTTCTATTCCTGCTGTTTTTCAGACGAAAGACACACAGGGCTTCCTTCTTAAGTACATTCAACTCTGTTTTTCTTCTCACTTTGCCAGTCTTATGGCAAGGAGGACATTCTTTAATGCTTTCAGTTTGGATTCTTTTTTCTGTTATTATATACTCAATTATATGCTGTTTCTTGTCCCAATCTATGTAATTATCTACTTTTTAAAATTTTACTACTTTCTACCCAACCTTCCTCATCCAATGGCATTTTAGAAGGATCTTGAAATACTGACATATATTTTTGGTTTATTTAATTATTGTTTACTCTGCCACCAATGGAGGTGTTGGCATTCAGGTTTATTAAATTCTGATTTCCAATCCTGCTGAGTAAAATAAAAACATGTTAGTTTTCTGCTTTGGGTAAAATGACAGCCTTTGATTTACATCAAAGTAGGAGCTATGGGTGGTGAGCCCCACATGTGAGGGAAGGAACAGGAAATAAAATTTTAACAATCACTAGTAGCAACAATAATGGGTACATTTTTAAAATGCAAGTTAGGCTAGCAGAGAAATCCTTTATGGCACACATATTCATATATGCATATGCACACACATATTCCTAAAATTGAATTCCTTAGAAAAACTATTTACCCTGTGGAGCTTTTGGGAATCAGGCCAGATATAGAGGCCAGCCATTAAACAGGATCTGTCAATCTGAACAAAGAAACGATGCAAGCATAATTATGAGAGTTCAAAGGAAGCAAAATACACATACTGCCAAAGATTTATTTGCTGGGAGCTATTTGGGCAGAAAGAAACCCAGATAAAATAACACTTATTCCAATGATTTCTTTATGGCTAGAACATCTAGCAAAACCAAAACAATACCTATATACATGGCCATCTCCAGACAATACACAAAAATTGAATTAACTATACTGATGCAAGGAGATGGAAGGACCAAATTTTAATAACAAAGACATATCCAAGGTCGCAAACCACTCAGATACAATTTCCAAACCAAGGTAAAGCTGGAAAAGTAAAACAATTGGTTTCACACTTGAATGTTGGCATCTACTCCCCATTTTCAAGGAGAACATCAAGAATCACTTTGAAGTCTTGAACCTTAAGGGAGCCAACTAAGGAGCTGCGGATTGAATCAAAGTCATGAAAGATAGACTGTCAAAGTCTAAAAATCAGAAGAAAACAAATATGATGTCAGTATATATTGGGAAATGCCAGAAAGAGAAGATAAATTAAAACCAAGAAAGAGTTCTTAGGAAAGAATTTAATAAAGAATTTCAGAGAGCTGTAAAGAAGAGATAAAAACAGTATTACAATCATATCT